ATAATATTTAATTATTATTTCATTTTAATTTCATTTTAATCATATTAACATATATATTTAATTAAATAATAATATTTATTGATTTTTAAATATAAAGAAATGGACTGTCTTAAAGTACCTAGAAGTCTTTTTCTGATATTCTTAAATAAATAAATATCCTATTTTTATAAATTATATATTAATTTATTTTAATTATTTTTATAGAAATGTTTTATTAATATTTATTTATTTTTTAATATTAAGAAATGAGCTGTCTTAAAGCACCTAGAAGTCTTTTTTTGATATTTCTAAGTAAATAAATATCTTATTTATAAAAATAAAGATATATATATATATATATATTTTTTCTTAAAATTATATTAATAAATTTGAAATAACAATATTATAAATTAAATATATCTTTGAATTTTTAAAGTTTCTAATAATAGATACAATTTATAATTAATGAGTATTAATTTTGGGCGTTATAGGGGTGTTAATCCTTCCCTAAAAGTAATCGACCACGAATCTTTTTTTACTAAAATTTTTAGTTATACACAGATCAGTTTATCTTTTAAATTATGTTTTCTTAAAAGCTATTTTAAAAGATTGTTTTTAGGTATTTGACCTACCTAACCCAAAAAGGTCAATGACGACTCCCAAAATATTTTTTAAATCAAAATTATTTATTTATTCATTTTATTTTTCCGGCTAAGTAAAAATTTCGTGCCATGACGAAAATCGGTTACGACAGAGATGATGTAGGAGCAAATTACTTTTCGCCACTGATACAAAGAAATCTAATGTATGAAGATTTTAGAACTCCACCCACTCGCATGGTATTCGTTCCTTTTTCCCTTATGTCGAAGATTTTATAAAGAATGCCTCATCTCCCCATAAAAAAAAAATCCTGTCCTTATTACATTATAATCACTTTATAATAATCCACCATAACGGGGACTCGTATCATATTTATTTTCCTGCATATAATACAAGGCTCTCCTGTCAGGAGTCGGGACAAAAAAAGGTTTCCTTTTCTCCTGTTTGTAATTCTTATTCTTGTATATCCAATTTAAACTTCAATTATCATATTACTCTCCAAATTTCTTTTTTATTAATAAAAATAATTATGAGATAATATTTATTTTAAAAAATAATTATTTAAAAATGAATACTCAAACATTCTTACTAACGATATATTTGAATACAAAACTTTTAAAAATAATAATCATCCATTTATATTTTAGAATCGCTTGGGTTATACGAAAATTTCAAAATGTATTTTAATAATATTTGCACACTTACTCTGAGATATAAGTGTTAAAGAAAAAAAACGCTGAGAGTTGCGTAAATATTAAAATATCCACGCACACACACACACTTACTCTGGGATAAATTGTCGTGATCATATATACAGGCACTTACTGTGGACATTCATCTATAAAAGAAGAGAATTACATATTATTAAAAGGGTAAATTAGATTGTTATTTATTGAACTTTATATTATCTTCTATTTTATTTATCGTACTTTTAATTTTTTTTTAATTTGTTTATTGTACTTTACAAATTGAATCATTTTTCTCACTCTGACGTTAACTTTTTAACGATATTATGACATGACAAAAACATCAAAACGACGTCGTTTTAAAAAACTCAAATATACACCAAAATAGCATCGTTTCGAATCCTCTTATTTCCCCTCATTTTCTCTCTACTTTACAAATAAGGTGATTGATTGTCGCCGTCAATCACCACGTCATTTTTCATTCTGGTCATCGTCTACCATCATTGATGGTGGTCGTTCGGTCTCAAAATTCATGGGTCGATTCATCTCAACCCCTAAGTCCGAATATGGTGGTTGTTTCACCGGAAAATATCCCAAAATCCGTGAATCTCGACTGAAACGTTTCGACTTTCTAGCTTTCAATCTCCAATTCATGGACTTCAGATCAAATTCCGACAAAATGGAGGTCAGATTGGAACTCAAAGTGTCGAGGCGGAGCGACCCATGAAATTTGAGACCAAACAGTCACCATCTACAACTATCGACAGTGGCCACAGTGGTATCAATCACCTTCTATTTTTATTTTATAGTTGAGTGAGTAAAATAGGAAAGAGCGTAAAGTTTAGTGAAGAACAATGTAAGTTACCATTTATATTTTCAATTATTTTATGTTAAATAATAAAAAAAATAGCACGCCGTCACAACGTCAGAGAGATAATAACAGAGTAAGCAAAATGATTCAATCTGTAAAGTTTAGTGAGTAAATTAGAAGAATTAAAAGTACGATGAATAAAATATAAAAGGGGTGAAGAATGATATAATTTACTCTTATCAAAATTATTGAGGATACTCCTTATTAAAAAGCCCAAGAAAGGCTGAAGGCCTAAAACATTAGAAAACAAATTGGGTTGTAAGTCACCGAAACGACATTTTTAAGCTTCAGCCATGAGTGAAAATTTCCACAGTTATGGAAAATTTTCTAATCATAAGCCCGTGTGCGTACGCTACTCATAATTACTAGGGTGGCTCGTTGAGTCCCAACTTGATGAAAAAAAAAAAAGCTGCAAAGAGACAAAAACATGGACGCTCTCATTTTCCTACAACCTTAAAACCCAACCAAATTCTGCCACAGATTTCTTTCCATATAAAACAATCTTTTCACCCGACACTTAAATTTCAGGATGTGCAAGGAGATGGGAATTTCACGAGGGTGGTGGTGGTTTCATACTAATCACAATGCCTGAAACCCCTCTCCATGGCTTCAATCCACCCTGTCTGGTAAAACCAGGATGTGCAAGGAGATGGGAACTTCACGAAGGTGGTGGTGGTTTCATACTCATCACAATGCCTCAAACCCCTCTCCATGACTTCAATCCACCTTGTCTAGTAAAACCCATCTCTCTTTTATTTATTACCATCTTTCATGGCGTATGTTTCAATCACAACTTAGCTTTTGTTTGTTCTTTTCGTTTAGCTTAAATAATGTGGAACTGGTTTAAACATATCAATGGCAGAGTTGGATAAGAAGACGATAGCAATGCTAATAACTGAGCAAGATGGAGATTCCTTTGCACAACGTGCATAAATGTATTGCAAGAATCAAGCCAAGTTGATTACCTTGGTCGAAGATCTCTATCAATCTCACCATCGAGTTATGTCCTACTGTGGAACTCGGCTCATAACAACATTGAGATTTCCATTTTCTTTCATGAAGTACATGAACATCGCAGATCATGAGACCTATGATCGGTGCTCTGATATTGTGGATTCTAAAGATTATGTTGAATCTGAAATCGACAACCTCGAATATGAATACGATATGGATATATCAATAAAAGGAGATTTTGGAAATGAAGATGAAACCTACCTAGATGATCCAAGGGAGGCGATGAAGTTAAGGGAATAAGTGGAGAGATTGAAGGAAAAAAAGTAAGAATCTGAAGGCTAACTTGTGGCACAAGGATGAAGATCTCTATCAATCTCACCATTCACTTGTTCAGCAGTACGATCGTTTTATCTGACTGTGGAACTCGGCTCATGACAACATTGAGATTGCCATTTTCTTCCATGAAGTACATGAACATCTTAGATCATGAAACCTATGATCGGTGCTCCGATACTATGGATTCTAAAGACTATGCTGAATCCGAAATCGACGACCTCGAACATGAATACGATATGGATATATCAATAAAAGGAGATGTTGGAAATGAAGATGAAACTTACCTAGATGTTCCAAGGGAGGCGATGAAGTTAAGGGAAGAAGTAGAGAGATTGAAGGAAGAGAATAAGAATCTGAAGGCTGACTTGTTGCACAAGGATGAAGAAAAGAGAGAGGTGATTAGACAGCTGGGTTTGGCAATCGAAGTGCTAAAGTATGAGAATGTGGAGCTCAAGAAGAGATTTGTGAAGAAATCAACAAGTATATGGAGCAAGCAAATCAAAGGGGGCCTTTTGGGGATGTCCCTCACTGTATAGTTTTTAGTTTAGGATTAAATTAGGTAGGAATACACCATTTTGATAGTGTACCAAATACGATCATACAACATTTTGATAATGTACAAATAATATACCAAGTAGAACATATATAGGTGAATGTGTACCTATGTACATATGGACGCATGCATCTATATCTGAATCACTGAATGTACGCATCAAAAGATTAAAGATGGATGCATGATATGAACTCTTCAAGCCAAACCAAGGTTGTTTTCTCAGTAATCCGACAGAAATGCTAGTACACACAAGGGCACAACTATAACATGGACTAAGCCACCTTATATTTCCCACTGAATTCTGTTCATTGAAATCAACATATAAGCTATGGAAACATTGGCATGTCAAACTTATCTCAATTGTAATTTTAGATTCAGGTTTTCCTTTAAGCCTCACCTTTGCCAGCCAAGATGATCAAACTGAATTTGCAATTTTCTGACATTTATGTCCAAAGACATCCATCAAACTCTTAAGTCATCTCTAAATTTGGAACTGGAGCTTTGCACTATTATCTGGTTGTCTCCAAGGGAATCAAGATAATAGTTCATCTGTAAGACTTGAATGCTTGTCCAACAACCTGAAAAAAAGTGCGGCTGCCTTGAGAACCTAAGAACAAATTTTAAAAAATAAGTTCATGTTTATCACACTCATTTGTATCAAGAACTCACCTGAGTCCAGCTAACATAGGCCCCCATTACATGATAAAACATAGTTGTATAAGTAAAAATCATCAGCTAGTAATATTTTATTTCCTTGCACAAAGAAGAACAGGAGAAGCTCCAGACCTATAGAAATAACAGCAACTTTTAACTGCCATACAATCAAAATATAACCCAAATTCTGTTGAATTGAAGAAGTGATGGAAATACAATACTACCTTCCATTCAGCATCGAACAACTTGATGCAATTTACAAAGTAGGCAACAACAGAAAAGCTGAATCAAAAATCATCATCAGAATCAGAGAAATTCCAGTTGGCTCATGTTACCAGTAAAAAAATACATGGTCTAGGGAAAAATTACCAAAGACATGAAATATTCCATTCATTAAGTCTAGTTACAAAGCTACAAGGTAGGATCCCTCATTATGAGAATAGTGCAATAATATAAAGAAAATAAAAACAAACATGATAGTATGATACAGAATGACCCATAATATTATTATTTTATCAAATTATTAGATATTCCATATGCTACAAGTCTAACAGACAAGCTCCCCTTCCAAAAAAAACTCATGTTCAATAGCATGCATGGGCTTAGTTAAACTATTACTAATAGGCAGAGCATGAGAGTTTAACTAGATTAATTATTAGCTCCAGAAGGTTGTGAATTGGCATTGGCATTGTCAAATCCTCCACTTGTTGGGGTTGCAGGACCCGTCACATTTGAAGGCACAACAATGGAGGGTGGTCCGTCAGAAGAAGTGGGTGTTGTTGCAGTTCCAGGAACAGCATTCCTGGAACAGGAACATAACCTGGCAATGTCACCAATAAAGGGGGAAAATCAATTTAATCGCATGCGAGCACTTGAGATCTAGAGTCAAAAAGCCAATGACTTGATTGGAAAGAAGATGGTATAAATCAAATAAGGTATGCTACATAAAATTTCAGCTTTATGGTAACATAGAGAAGTATGCAAAAGAAAATTCACCATGTTCACTATCACCGCATAAATTCATGATTGAACATCCAAACCTCAAACTAACAACAGTGATGATGATGCAGATATGTGCTGAATCTTACCAGGAGCACCTGGAGCTGATCTTGGCAGAACTAGATTAATTATTAGCTCCAGAAGGTTGTGAATTGGCATTGGCATTGGCATTGTCAAATCCTCCACTTGTTTGGGTTGCAAGACCCGTCACATGTGAAGGCACAACAATGGAGGGTGGTCCGTTAGAAGAAGTGGGTGTTGTTGCAGTTCCAGGATTTGTTGTTGGTGGAGCCAGTGTAGGAGGCCGTGGAAGGCCATTTACTTGACCAGGCAAAGCAGCACCAGGTGGTGCCACCATTGGTGGCAACAGCATTCCTGGAACAGGAACATAACCTGGCAATGTCACCAATAAAGGGGAAAAATCAATTTCATCGCATGCGAGCACTTGAGATCTAGAGTCAAAAAGCCAATGACTTGATTGGAAAGAAGATGGTATAAATCAAATAAGGTATGCTACATAAAATTTCAGCTTTATGGTAACATAAAGAAGTATGCAAAAGAAAATTCACCATGTTCACTATCACCGCATAAATTCATGACTGAACATCCAAACCTCAAACTAACAACAGTGATGATGATGCAGATATGTGCTGAATCTTACCAGGAGCACCTGGAGCTGGTCTTGGCAGAACTAGATTAATTATTAGCTCCAGAAGGTTGTGAATTGGCATTGGCATTGTCAAATCCTCCACTTGTTTGGGTTGCCGGACCCGTCACTTGTGAAGGCACAACAATGGAGGGTGGTCCGTTAGAAGAAGTGGGTGTTGTTGCAGTTCCAGGATTTTTTGTTGGTGGAGCCAGTGTAGGAGGCCGTGGAAGGCCATTTATTTGACCAGGCAAAGGAGCACCAGGTGGTGCCACCATTGGTGGTAACAGCATTCCTGGAACAGGAACATAACCTGGCAATGTCACCAATAAAAGGGAAAAAATCAATTTCATCGCATGCGAGCACTTGAGATCTAGAGTCAAAAAGCCAATGACTTGATTGGAAAGAAGATGGTATAAATCAAATAGGGTATGCTACATAATATTTCAGGTTTATGGTAACATAAAGAAGTACGCAAAAGAAAATTCACCATGTTCACTATCACCGCATAAATTCATGACTGAACATCCAAACCTCAAACTAAGAACAGTGATGATGATGCAGATATGTGCTGAATCTTACCAGGAGCACCTGGAGCTGGTCTTGGAAGAACAGGGAGCCTCATTCTTGGGATCAATGGTTGCATAACAGGTGTTGGAAGAATGGGAAGTCGAGGCCTCTGAGCCATTAGATGTTGATTAAAAGAAGCTCCAACCTGCTGGAAAGTTGCCGCTTGGCCAAGATGTTCCTTGATCCTCTGATCAATTAAGCTCTGGGTCTGTTGCTCCTCAAATTGCTGATAGTAAATTCTAACATTTGCCTAAAGTTGCACAAAAAATGAGGAAAAAAAATTATAACTCGCAATCATAGATAAACTACATGAAATTCAAAGAAAATTCTCTACAATTACCTTGTGCTTGTAACCTGCATTATGTTGTTTTCTAACTGATGGCTGAAATTTAAACCCAAACAAAATTGTCAGCATTTGTTATAAACTCAACAGCCAAACTAATAGACCATAATTTTAGGATTTTATTTATATTTTCAAGTGATAATATGTTTTTTGTTCCCCTGAAATTTTATAAATTCACGCTATCCTAAAATTTTTTAAGTTCATCACCTAAAATAAAATTCAGCTTCCATCCATGCATATATGAAAGAATTAAAGTAAACACGAACAGATTAAAAAAAGAAGACAGAACAGGGTCAGAGAACTCACAGAGTCGTGCGTCAAATAAGTGTCGCAATAATCACAATAGTAACTTCAAATTCAAGTCCAAGTAAACATATTAATAAATGTGAATGGAAAAGAACTGCAACCGATTATGTTAATTTCTTTTAGAATTGAATAGATTGGTAAAGATCATTACCGTGGCATGGCTGAGAAACACAGAACCGAATCACATTGCAGATCGTGAAACCCTAGGGAGAGCGCGCCAGACAGCAGTGTAGAGCCAATAAAAACCCTAGCTCAAAGACGAGGAAAAGGCCGGGAAATTGGAATTTTGACTGTGATCTGTAAATTATGATATGTCACCGTAAGTTGCTTTTTAACTCTAATCGGGCATAACTGAAATTTTTTAATAATAAATATTAGATTACTTAAGAAATATTTTGTAGATACTATAATCTACAGGAAAAAGGTTACATGATGCTCTCATACTTAAAAAAAATATGGTGTTCCAACTTTTTTTTATTCAATGTTAAAACACAGAAAAAAAAATTCAATGTGATCTTTTGACCAATGATTTTTATCGTTGATCGTTACAATGCTGATATGATAGTTCATGATGCTAATGTAACAATCTACAATGGTTGAAAACATGGTAGTCGACAATTTGAAATTATCGAGTATTTATAATGAAAATACCCAAATTTTCGGGTTGGATACATGACCCGTTATTTTTTACAGGTTTCCAGATCGGGCTTGGATCATAAAATAATGCTTAATCGGGTGCTCGTCGACCCGATATTCTTTCTTATATATTTTTTATTTTATTTATATTAAATTTTTTATTCCTAATTCTCAAATTATTTCACCCTAACATTTTAAATTCTCTAATTTCTTAATTTCATAAATTATTTCCTCATAACCTTCTAAATTATTAATTTCTTAAATTGTTTCACTTTTGCAATTAAAATTATTTGTCAAATTATTTCTTTTTAACTTTAAAATATTTTAAATTTAATTGCATTTCTTCAATTTTATTTTTAATAAATTTTATCTTTTAATAATATAATTTAAAATTTAAAATTTATGAGTGAATTATTATATACCTTAAAATTTTACTTTTTTGTATTTTCTAAAAAATAATATAAATTAAATAAAATATTTAAAAATATATGAATCAAGCACCCGTGACCCAGAAAAACAGGTACTCAAGTTTTACTAGTATCCAACTTACGAGTATCCAAACTTAATGGACCGAGACACGAGTCGACATTTTGGTACCCAGATATCCCGAGTAACCAAAAATATGGGTACCCTGTTTGGGTACCCTGTTTTGAACATCCCTAACATACATAGGGAAAATAAACATTCAGGGATGAACACATGATTTTATGTTGAGGTACGAACTTCTAAAATTTTAGGAGGAGACAAATCTATAAAATTTTAGGGGGCGAAAATATAGTTTTAATAGAAAATACATGGAAAAAATTATATGATAATTTTAAAATTTCAAAGGGGAGAAGGAGTGCTTAATGGGTTGAGCAGCTCGAACTCGGCTCGGTCAAATCGATAAAAGTTCAACTCGGGTTGACTTGACTCAAACTCGAGTTCGACTCAAGACCTTAACGAGCTAAGGAAAGTCCAACTCGACTCGATAAATTCGCGAGCAAATTATTAATTTTTTTATAACTTTTTAATATTTATCGTAAAAAATATTTCATTCAAAAAATTAGTAATTTACAAATAGATAATAAAAAGATGATAAATCATTAATCTATTAATTTTTTAATAAATAATTAAAAAAATATTAAATTGTTGATTAATAATTATTATTTTACTACACCTAAAAATCAAACCCTAATTATTTTTTAATGTATTTATGGATTTCTATTTTGGTGTTTATACTTTGAATTTATTTCATACACTCTTTTGATAATTTTTGGTTAACTTTATTAATTTATGTTTATATTAAGTTGTATATAGTATTAGTAGATATTACTTATAGTTAAAAAATAATATAAAAATTTCGGTAGCTTAACTAGCAACGAGTTTAATGAGTTTAACGAGCAACGAGTCGAACAACAAATTTTTTTAACGAGCATGAGTCGAGCAAAATTTTAACAATCTTAATGAGCAACAAATTTTATTAACGAGCACAAATTGAGCAAAATTTTAACTAGATTAACGAGCAACGAGTCGAATTGAGCAAAAAAAATTTTAACGAACACAAATCGATTGCTACCTAACCCGCCATTGACTCGCTTGATAAGTACCCCTAGGGGCGACTACCCACACCCGCTCCCTCAATCCATCTATGCAAATAACAACTAACAATAAGATATGAATCAACAAACCAACAACAATGATCAATTTATTATATTATTGATCAAATTAATATTTAGATTATAAAATATTATAAAAATACATTTTATAACATCAGTAATATAATTAGATAAGTGTTATGAAAAAAATATAACTCTGACGAATATTAACTATTTATATATTTTGATTTAAATAAAAAATCGTAGTTGATAGTTTTATGGAGAGGTAAAAAAATAGATAATATGAGAAACGTGCTGATTAGTGAGATAAGATGAGAGAGAGCGTCTCTAGGAGAGAGAAAAATCCCTTATTCAGTCATGTATAATGACTTATATACCAACCCCTGATGTTATTGTCGAATTTAGGAATATGATGACTATCCGTATACTGGTAGAATAAATAGAATGTCATCAAATAATATTTTTTTTCAACTCTAACATACTATGTGAGTCTATCATTGATCACGATAAGAGGTTATAATCGATCAAAATATATATAATCAAGAACTCTAACATACTATGTGAGTCTATTATTGTTTGACTCTTGGTATTCATTAATCATGTAGCTTTGTAATATAAATCGTAAACAATGTTTATAAAATTAATATATTTTAAATATTGTTTTAGAATTCACCGGTGGAAATAATCCCTCTTGTGCGAGCGGATATGGAAGGAGAAGAGTTTCTCCGATAATAGAAATGCGAAACGCAGCGTTTTGTTGTTTGTTTAAATTAGTGTACCCAAAAAAAATTAATATATTTTTATAAAATAAAAGGAATTAATTATAATTATAAGTTAAATATTATTTATCGATATAATAATAATAATAATAATAATAATAATAATAATAATTTATTAACTTGATCTAGTGGTTAAGCGTGCATCCCTACCCGAAAGTCCCTTGTTTAAATCTCACCAAGACACCAAATATAATTTTATAATAATTTATTGAAAAACGGTATATGAACATCTCATGTTCTAAAATTAAACTAAATTAAAAAATGACTGGTTCCATTGTGTTTTAAAAGTCTAACACCAAATTGAAAATATTCTAAAATTAAAGGATTAACGATGTACATTACCCTTATTATTATTGCTATGTATTATCGTCAATACTTGTTGATTTAGTGAAGCATACGAGACTCGTTTATTTAATATTATTTTACAATCCTAAAGTCAAGTGTAAATGAAGATTGATCATTTTGCTTTAATGTCAAACCAAACAGTCGATCAATTTGGTTGTCTACTTCCACTATTTTTTAATTATTGTTTTCTTCAATATTGTTTTGAAAAATAAAAAGATAAGAGAGAGTTGAATTTACTTATTTATTTTGATCAAGAATGGGTTTGCTTAAGAAGTAGGTCATTTCTTAGTCACTGCAGTGTGTTTGCTTAAGTTGGTTGGTTTTGAAGCACTGTTCCACCCTTTCACGAACCAAATTAAATATTAGGAGAAGGCCAAGAGGAAACCCTAAACCCCACGAATTCAAATAACAATAAAACTAGGGTTGCCAAATTGATGCCCGAAAAATCAAGTAGTTTCCGGTGGTTGCAGGCGTGGATGATTGTAGATCATACCAATTACCAAAACACACAAACCTGCCGTTGAACATTCAAAACCCTTTATTTGGTTTAATAGTTTTTTATATTAAAATTTAACCCTCATACTTATTTATTCAGAACTTTTGGTCTACTCGGTCAATTTTATTTATTTTCACTGTTAGTTTTAATCTAACGGTTATAAAAAATAAAAACAGCTTTTATAATAATATTTTTTTATAATTTATGTTTTTAGCTCCTTAAAGGTTAAATTGATAAGATTATAAATATATATAATTAAAAAATGTTTTGTCTTCTTTTTAACTTTTAGTTAACATCTAATGCTAAAATCATATAGAAGTCGGAAAAAATGCAGAAATTCAATTTCATAAAATTATAATATAAAACAAAAATTTTAAAATTAAAATAATAAGAATATTTTTTTTAAATAAGATATATTTTAAATAATCTGAACTATTTGATACTAAATGTTTAATCACTCATACTGTAACGAATGATACTCAAACTTAAAATCTCTAATTATAATTATTTTTTTAATCACTAAGATATATTCTACCATATATAAATTTATTTATTTGTATTATTTATGGAGTCGATCCATGCGACGCTTTCAGTGTACATTTAGTGCACGTTCTTCGGTAAATATCATCGTCCCACACCATTCAATGCTCCACTGTCCATTACATTTGTTCGAGCTATTCCTTTTAAGTTGGAGTTTTGTTAAAAATTTAAAAAGTTTAAGATAAAAATACTAAATATGAAAATAGATTTAAATAAAAAATTAAATTTATTTAAATTATGAGTTGTATTTAGGCTCTAATAACATTCAAAAAAATCTATTATATTTATAATATATTTTAATATATTATACAATTGAGATATTTTTTGAAGTTAAAGTTAGGCGGATTAAGAGTCTAATGACCTCGATTTTTATGGCTTGTCTTGAGCCGCTTTATTAGTAATAATTTTAGGGTAAATTATGTCTAGTATCTAGACTATTAGTTTTTGTTCGTTTTAATGTTTAAGCTTTTAGTTTTTTCAAAAATATACCTAAATGTTAGTTTTAATTTCATTTTAGTATCCGCCGTTAAAAATTTTAATTTTTGTTTCATTTTAGTACTAAAAACGTTAAAATTTTAACATATTGATATTAAAATGAAATAAAAACTAAACGTTAGATATGATTTTAAAAAAATTAAAAAATTTAAGTACTAAAATATATCAAAATTAATAATTTAGATATGAAATATGTTGTTTATCCGTAGTTTTATGTTTCCACGTGGATTATTTTGAACTTTTGAGAACAATGAGTCGTAGCTATTTACAGCAGCACGTTTTAGATGTTGAAAATTAACATTGACCTAATCGTACTCACTTTTGTTGATTCAAAACGCTTGTTTTTTTTTAATTTCTTTGGGCGGTGCACACAAAGATGGGAAGCTAAAAGATGCCGAATTTCGGTTTCATCCCTCTATTATTT